TTAAAAATAAGCTATTTTCCAACAAATGCCCCCCACATCATCATCTCCGACCTGAAATAAAAACCGAATGCCAGTATCTTTACAAAATTCAAAACAAGAATAAATAAATATCACAATTTCATTCAGAAATTTTTAAGAAAAATTTTTCTTTGGGAAAAATCTTATCCCATTATTCAAAAATTTTACCGTAGCAAGAAAGTCCAACATGTTACAGAACAATACAAAGACATATATATGATCACACACTCAATACTTTTACCCAGGGCCCTGGTCACTCATACAACATTCTACACTATACAATTTTACATTTACCTAATATCCATCATAATATGACTTATAACATATTAGTTTCAAATAAACAAAACTCTTAATTTAAATACACACAAAAACAAATTTCATAAGAAAATTGTTCCACAAAATCTTATCAGGTTATGCTTAGTCAGCGGTTTTGTCATGGGATCAGCCAGATTATCTTTACTTGGGACATATTTTAAATCAAAAATTTCCCTGTTCAATAGATCACGAATGAAAAATAGTTTCACATCTATATGTTTTGTCCTTGAGTTTTCAATGGGTGATTTTGTAAAACATATAGCAGCCATATGTTATCAGCAAACAATATTGGCCTCGAAACATAGTTACTTGCAATTTTAAACTGAATGCATTCATCCAAAATGTTTTTAAACCAAACTAATTCTTTTGCTGATTCAGTCATGGAGATAAATTCAGCCTCCATAGTAGATAAACTCACTCCCCTTTCTTTAAATGTACGCCAAGATACAGGTGATTCTCCCAACAAAGCTATTTGTCCACCAATAGACACCATATCATCCCTGCTTGAAGCAAAATCCGAATCTGAATATATATTGAGCTTCAGTTCCTTGCATACCAGTTTGAGTTTGTGCTGTCTGGTATTGGAAACGTACCCTAAAAGTTTAAGTAATCCTTCCCAGTGAAACTTACCAGGATTGCTTTGGAACTGAGAAAATATATTAACAGCATAAGCTATATCCGGACGAGTACGATTGCAAAGAAACGAGAGACATCCCAAAACATTTCTATAAGGATAATTCATCATTTCAGTCGTTTCTTCTTGTGTACTGGGACTTTGAGACTTTGAGTATTTCACACCTTTAACTATTGGAAGGGAAGTAATTTGTATTTTAAAAGACTTAAATCGATCAACTATGTCTTCTATATATAATTGCTGATGAATTAAAACACTATTGTTCTCATATTCAAACTCCACACCCAGAAGCTTTCTTGTTTTACCTAAAATTTTCAAATCAAAATGTGAACTCAGGACTTTTAATATCCTTTTGGCCTGAACTTCACTTTTCCCAAACACAACTATATCATCAACATAAACCAACAGAATGACAAAATCTTTAAAACGATAGACACAATTACACCTAACTCAAACTTGGATAAACCCTAGGTTACATAGTGTTCTATCCAACTCGTAGTACCATAATCGGCCCACTCTGATGCAAACCATACAAGGCCTCTATCTAAACGACACACAAAAGTTTCTTTATCTCGCTCTACAAAACCCTGAGGTTGGGACATGTAAATTTCCTCTGATAAAGGAGCATAGAGATAGGCACTTTTTCACGTCACATTGTATATTTGCCCATCCAAGGTGTGCAACTAAAGGAGAGAGAGAAAAAGAGCCTTATTACTGAAAAGTTGACTACAGGAGAGTAGGTTTCATCATAGGTATCGTATTTAATTTGCCGATAACCCTGAGCCACTAAACGAGCTTTAAAACGAACAATGTTTCCAAATTTGTCACGTTTAATGTTGAAAATCCACCTGCAACCTAGTGGAAGTCTTGTCTTTAGGAAGTGGAACAAGATGCCATACCTTATGCTTTCGCATGTTGGCCATTTCCTCTTCCATTGCCTCTATCCATTTAAGCTTTTCTGCAGATTTCATTGCCTGGTTATAAGTGTTTGGAATTGAAACATCTAGTCAGCTATCTCGGGTATACGACGTTGAAGGAGTACCAGTTGGGTCGATTTCACCACTATAAGTATTGCTTCCCTTGAAATCAAACAAGGTAGGATCATACTGAATATTATGTTCAGTGCAATACCTTTCTACATCATTTGGTGATCGTAGTCTTTGATTAGACCCCCTCTAAAATAATACACATCCGTACGAGTGCCGTCTGGCCTTGGAACAGGTTTACGAAGCCAAGTTACTTGTCTCAATGTAGATTGAGTGTCAGTGCCAATTGTAGAAGAAGAAGGTACATTGGTATCGGTTCTTTCCTCTATTTCAGGAAAATAGCCAACTGGAGTGTCAGTAGATTGGAACTCTACCCTTTCTTCAGATTCCAAATCAGGAAGGGTGCCCAGTGCAGCTCCACTGCCACTTTTCTGCATTCCAATTGACTCTTTAAAAGTAGCATTTAGGGTTTCTACTACCTTTTTGCTCATTTTCCAACCAAATTTCTTGTACCCTTTTGTTCGTACACTGTACCCAATCAATCGGCCCTTTGTTGCCTTTGGATCAAGTTTAGAATTTCTTTTAGCCTTTGGAATTCCCACATAGGCAATCGTTCCAAATGCCTTAAGATGACGTACTGATGGTTTCCGCTTAGTGTATAATTCGAATGGGGTTCTATCTTGGCCCTTATGACAAATTCTATTAAATGAATATGCAAAATACATTACTGCATCTGACCAAAATTCAGGAACTCATTCCACTATCGTGTAAAGATTGCACGTACATTGTTGAGAGCTGTCTGATTAAATCTCTCACAAACTCCATTCTGTTCTGGAGTGTATATACATCTGTAAATTCGTGCTTTACACCATTTTTATTACAATATGACCTGAATTGATCATTATCATATTCTCGCCCATTGTCAGTCCTAAAAGTATTTCAACTTAAGGTTCAAAGATCTTTCCGCACGTGCTATATGCCTTTCAAATACTTCAAACACCTGACTTTTCTCCACAATGGGGTACACTACCACATAACGAGAATATTCGTCAATAAAGGAAACGAAATAACGTCACCATTCCTACCTGGAATGTTAATAGATCCCCATACATCAGAAAAAACCCTTTCAAGTGGTCTCTTTACTTGAATACCTTCTAAAGGTCTATAGGAGATTCGTCTTTGCTTATTGATTTGGCAATGTTCACAAAACAAATTAGGTGAGTGCTTTAACACAGGAAGACCTCGAACTGAATGTCTCTTACTAGTCCTGACAATAGTATCATAATTTATATGACCAAACCGACCATGCCATAATTCACTATTATTATGCTGAACTGTGGATGCCTCAAATTTTACAGATTTGCCCCCCTTTTTGATTATTTTCGGGAACACATGATAGTTACTTCCTATCAACTTAGCCTTGTACAAAGTTGAATTCTCATCATCAGTAACTTTAATTTGCCCATTTTTACCATAAAATCTCGCTCCATTGATATCCACCCTAGGTACAGATATTAAATTTCGTCTCAGTTCAGGTGAATATAACACATCTTTAAGCAAAATAACCGTATCCCCAAAAGAAAAAAATGGAAAACAAATAAGGAGAGTTTAAAAGGAAAGGGGAAAAGATCACTAAGGCTTCAGGATCGTGCCTCTTGTCTTACCAAGAGGGTGATCGCTTGAAGGGCAAGGGTACCTCGGGATTGCCTCACCTTTACTCATAAAGAATGAACCCCTGAGGAGTGTACAATCTGGTATACCTCAAAATAGTTTGAAATATATAGTGCCACAAGGACTTCCTTGCAATTACACTTAGTTTCATTCAATTTTTTTGCCTTTCTACCTATTTTACAATTTTTCTTTTCTTTTTTTTTTTTCTTTTTTTTTTTTTTTTTAGCTTCTGAGCATGAAATATTCTTTGGAAAATATCTCCACTGCTTTGTTTGTAAACAATGCAGTTTGTTACAAACACACATCCTTCTGTGTTCTGAACAGTTACATCTTGAAATATGTACATCTGTAACAGATACTATAGCAATAATCACATGTCATACAATGCAGCCTGAAACTGTCAACAAGCAATCTCAGTTGATAAGTCATACATGCCACATTAACTGAGGTGTCAACTTATTTTCATGACAACTGCCTATCAACATGTGTATTATGTTGCAGGCAGCTTTAACACAAAAAAATCTCGATGCATGTGGTACATCTTTTCAGCACAAGAGGTTAATAGTTTTAATTATCCTACAACAGATAAAATACAAAAAATCTTAAAGACTGATAAAATAAGTGTCTATACAGGGTGATACTGTGCTACAACCACTTTATCTTTCTACCAATACAATATTCAAGGATTTTAAGAAAGATTATTTAATTCTTCAACGATAGCAAATTGTGCATATTGGTATTCACCTTCAAGGTAGTTTAAAGCGCTCAGAAACTGCAATATCTGCATAGATCAAACAAACTGGACAAAGATTTCATGATCACTGAGTGATTAAGAGCAAAATGTTTTAAGAAATATAACATTTGAAATGCATTCAATAGCACAGATGATGATATACTTTGGAATAAATTACTGTACTGGATAGGAACTTGGGATAAATGAAGGAATGAAGGTGAAACTTCCACTGCTCTATTTGCCTTTGAAAATTTGAATCTAAACTTTAATCAGTGAGGTAACAATATAGCATTAGTGATTTGAATAGATTAATTTAATGACAAATTAGATCAGAGTTCTCACAAATAAGACAATGGTTAGTAGCTCATAATTATATTTTGCTTAAAACCAAGAAAAAATATTTTTGTAACTATGTAAAATACTTTTCGATAAATATTAAATGAATTTGGAAAAAAAGTGTTCATTTTTAAAGAAGTGAAAATTATTCACTTTTTTATGAAGGTCTGAAAAATGGGTGCAGATATTACTTATGTGAACATGGTGTCAAAAATTGTAATGATTAGAAAAAGCATTAATATTTAACAATCATGGCATACATGCAATTTACATTGTATACGGAAAATAAATTAAATAAAATACTAACCTGTGAAATAGAAAATCCAAATTTCTCAAGAAGTAAATTTAAAAGTTGGTCAGTATTTAAAATACTTTGTACTTGTAATGGAGGATACCTACTAAGTAGTCGATTAGCTTTATACAAGGAACAATCAAGTTTATTAGATAAAAATACAGCATTCATTGCTGTTTTGATCTTCTTCAAACTACTGCCATCTCTGTACATCTCTTGTAAGCGTGATATTATTTCCCTATTATTTCCAGATCCAAGCAAATAAGGCATGATGTGATGAGGCTGACTATCAAATGAAAAAGAAATGCCTTCTTTCTGCAAGGTACCAGGTGTTTTCTTAACAAATTGAGGAAATCTAAAACAAACAAACAAATTTTAAATTATGGTAATCTGAGAAACTGAATGCATTTTACCAATTATATTTCAGAATCGTAAACTGTAATGACTCATAAATAAGATATTCTTAACTCTTTGATGCGTGCGTTATTATTTTTATAATTTTTTTAACTAAAAACTCTAGAAATTGAATATTATGATCGGATACACAAATAATATATGAATTTAAAAAATCTACTCTTGTTCATTGTTCTGTGGGTGGTGGTAACACTGTGAAACCACACGTTTGGCTGAATGGATAAAACAACTAAGTAAAATAATGATTTAAAAAAAAAAAAAAAAAAAAAAAGACTCTCTTTTTTTCTTTTTTTTAAATTTTACAGAACAATTTTTTTTTTTTTTTTTTTTTGTGACACTGTTCAAAGCATATTTTGCTTTTTGTACATGCATAGACCCACATGCACGTTTAGCACATGTATCTTATCTGAGGTTCTTCCTTGTGCTACAAATGTACACTGCTCAAAAAAAAAAAAAAAAAAAAAAAAAAAAAAAAAAGGGACAGTCTATATCTCCCGATCTACTGGGCTGATTGACAAATTCAAATCATTTCTTCATGTCTCGAAGCACGACTTAGGATATTATTAGATTTATATATAGCACTATTCTGACATAGGTATTTTGACACAAATCGGACTTTTTCTGAAATAACATACCAATTTTTTTACATATTCGATCTACAACTTAAATACGCCTAAATATGAAATTTTGTAAAATTTGGAGCGAAATTTACGGAGAAATTCACAATTTATGTTGGCACTTTTTTGTCAGTTTGCACCAGAGACTTCACTGGCGAAGTTTTAATATATGGCAACTGTTGCTTAGTAAGAGGAAAAAAGTCACCATCGTTCCTTTGTCAAATAATTCTTATATTAGATTTTAATAACTTATATTTTAAGTATTTTTCTTTTTGAATTTTTTTATTGTTTAGTTGAATGTTTTTTCTGCGAATAACTGTTTTAAAAAGTTCTATTACCTATTCGAACTGCGAAAATAAGTGACGTTTATTTTTTTCAAATAGTTTTCTTTATATATATTTTTTATTATAGTTATGATTTTAGTAATTTAATTTTATACTTTTGTTTTAATTGTTTGTGTTGCATTGTCTCTTCAGATAATTGTTTAAAAATTTCTATTTCCTCGAACGAGCATTTTTAATATAATCTCCAAATTGATTTTTTATTCGAATTGCGTTTCATTCGGAAGAATACTTTGAACCAGACTACGATGCATTTGAAAACTGCATATATTAAAAGAGAAATACAGTAAACACGTTAACACGCTTTCATTTCTGTTCGAAAAGATTATAAAAGAGAGAGGTATAACGACATTTTAACTTAGGATACTTGATAAACTGCTTTAAACAGTTTTATCATTGTGCCCATTGCTTTACACAATTTACCTACTTGGTTTCTAAAATGTTATTCATTTTTAGTCAATATTATTTTTGAAATCGCAGAATCAAATATCATAAATTGAAAGTTTAATTAAAAAAAAAAGAAATATAATTTTACGAAAAAATTATTTTTCTCTTTTTTCTTTAAGCATTCTGCAAGTTATTAAAAAGTCTCCAACTTTTCGAAACATTTGGTATTTCTGACAATCATTTTAAATAAGTTATAGCCACCACTTCATAAAGGCCCAAAGGCAGCGGTAGCTGATCACTGGTAGTCGGTCGCGTTTCGAATCCGTGAACGGGCTGGTGCATGGGTGTTTTCGTGTTTCCGATGTTTGTGTACGTGTATACGAGCCATTTCCTTAGAATCCTCCACAAGGCATCCGCCCTCGGCAGATAGCCTCGTGTGCTTTGCCATAGTTAAATAATCCAATCATCCATCCAATCCTTAATTAAAATAAATGATTTAACTTTACTAGATGACGTAGAATGACGGCAAATAAAAATATCGTGGCAATCTGATAATTAAAATTTAAAATATTTGCACAGAAAAAATATTGCATTCAACAGAAGGTTTTGAATATTTGCAATTACTTAGAAGAGGATTTATTAATAACCATAATAATTACTTATTATATGAAAGCATCTTAATCAAATAGCTCCCATGTTCTTCTGTGTTCAATAACCACTAACTAGTTTAAGCGTGATTTTCCAGAGAAGTTACTAGCAAAACCCGAATTTCATTAACATCATTAGCTTGCATTGGGAGCACATGAAAGATATGGTTGCCAAAATGAATTGATGTTACGGTACGCTGTTTTCTAAACTTAGATGTCATTTCTAATAAATATTATGTGTATTTATACAGAGCTATGTAGACTGAAGGGAAAGAATATATTGTGTGAAATATGTAATATAAATTAACAAATATTCATAAAAAATTTGCATCGACAGAACATTTTTTTGATATTTGCAATACTTTAATAAGGATTATTAATACCGTAATAATTACTTATTATATACTGAGGATTAGATCATTCTTGACAATTACTTCGAATTCGAATTTTAAGATTATTAGAATTTTAAATTAGATAATGAAATATGGTACGCACAAAATCATTTTAAGATAAAAAATAGTAAGATAAATGATTAACTTCTGAATTCATTTAATAACACGTTATCTCGTTGTTATTGAATTCAGATGTTGGGTGTCGTTTATATATTATTTTATTGTTACGGAGCTGCTGACTTATCCAGAGATTAAGAGCGGCAGACATTTTCTAAATAACCATTAACTTCCTTATTCAGTCTCTAGAGGGTTGTATATTTTTAATAATTTGACTTTTATAAAAATGTTATTCTAAATCTTTTCTATAAAATAGACTGTGCTTTAAAATATGGATATAGTACCAGCCGCTCTTTCAGGCACTTCAAAAGCATCAGGTGTTAGAAAGAAATGTGCAGTTAGTCATAAAATTCAATAACACAAACGAAAATTCTCAGTTAGACATTCGTTTAATGAAGTAAAGTAGCGACATAAACGCCGAAGGTAAATTTACTCTTATTAAAAAAAAAAGAGAAATTAAAAAAAAATTAAAAATTTATTTAAAATAGCTTTTCATATAGTATTATAATATTATTACAATCATTGAGGGAAAATGTATATAATAATTCTACGTAAATTTACTAAATTAGGTTAAAATAGCTGTGGCAATACGTTACAAAATACATAGCCCACTTTGGCGTTATTATTGCCAAAAAAAAAGATCCAAATTCAAAGCTGAAATATTAATTGGTATATCTTAAATTTGAATAAAAAAGTATAATTTTTTGCAGATATCTAAAAATATACCTACTTTAGATGATGTAAAAATTTTATATTTATAATACAATTTTCAAAAAATTTATAAACTATTTAAAAATAGAAATTTAAAAAAATAAAAACAAAAAATTGTAAGTTATTTGATGAACCTAAATTGAAATGGGGAGAAAAAATCAAAAAATTATAAAAAAGAGATATAAATAAATATTTGCCAAATCAATTAACATTGAGAGCTAAAATTTTGAGAGCTAATATTCAAAAACTACTCATACGATTTTTACCAAACTTGGCATTCTGCATCATTTGAGCGTAAAATCAAATATGAAAAAAATTGGTATGTATTCAGAAAAGTCCAATTTGTGTCAAAATACCTAGTTGGAAGTGCTATTCTAATCTAATATATATTTAAGTCGCGCTCAAGAATGAGACGCAATTGAATTTCGTGATGCGCCCCATAGAAGGGAGTATAGCCTGTCCCATTTTTTTTTTTTTTTTTTTTTTTGAGCGTTGTCATTACTGATCTAAATTCACTGGTATATGTCCAGCGTTATTTATTTCTTTTCATCTGGCACTGAATTTGTGGATTTTTTTATGGGGGGGGGGGGGCTTGGTCTTTTTGCCTTTGGTATGGATCATTCATTTCCCATTCATACTATTATTTCGTACTTCGTCCAAGAATTCATAAATTTTTAATTTAAAAAACACTTTAGCGATTCTATTTTATTATAGCAAAGTATATTTATAATACTTTAACACAGGAATAATTTATAAATAACAATACTAGCCTTGGGGAGCAAGTTTTGAGGTCGAGAGTCTCTGAAAAAAGACTTTTACTGGCAGGGCATGTATCGTCAATAACTCTGTGGTTCAAAACCCCTTATCGATATCCGGTAAAATAAACCTCTATTTGAGAAGCAGCATCCATTGTGAAGAGCATGGTTTAAAGGTACGACCACCGAGCTCTAGAGCATGTTCACAAGTCTAGTGGGGCAGTGTCGTGCCCTGAACCACAAGCAAATCCCATACATATAGAGGTTTTTTTTATCTATATATACAGTTTAATTATGCTATTTTAGTTTTATGTAGAAATCATGATTCTGATGATAATTTTTGAATTTAAAGTTTTTTATAATAAAAGGAATTATTTTGTTCATTGAAAAAAATTTTAAAAGGCACCGATTTGAAGTACTAAGACCTAAAACATGTATGATTCTGCAGTCATTTTGTGTTATTTAGAGGTAAAAGATCAGTAATCAATCGATTTTCACTAAAAAATTTCGGAAAGAAGAGGAGAAAAATATTCTAAAATTGGTGGTTCCAAAGCACGACCACCGCACGCCAAAGGGTTAAAATGAGCTTCTTAATTAAAAAATATATCAGCTTTATAATCTAATACTTAACGTCTGTGGGACAGCATATTGCTGAACTAAAAACCCTCTGCAGACAGATGTGTCATATATGTATCAGTCCCAACTGTCGCTAGCAGCCGGGCGATGCACTGGTGCATCACCGTTTGCATTGATCTTCCAGGTGAGTGTGGCATATACACACTTTCAAATATACACATTCTTTTAGAATTTTTTAAATCACTATGAAAGCATTCCATGTCCACCACAGTTAGCTTTTTTGAACAAATACATTGTTGACCTTGTGTTCATGAAATACTTTCTGATTCTGGTGATTTGTTTAGAAGTATGGGCAGATGATATAAAGCATGGGTGTCTAAACTCTGACCGTTTGAGAG